TTTAAAGTAGAGACACTACATACTGATATACACCTGAACATCAGCAGGAGAGGACTCTTTAAAGTAGAGACACTACATACTGATATACACCTGAACATCAGCAGGAGAGGACTCTTTAAAGTAGAGACACTACATTCTGATATACACCTGAAAATCAGCAGGAGAGGACTCTTTAAAGTAGAGACACTACATACTGATATACACCTGAACATCAGCAGGAGAGGACTCTTTAAAGTAGAGACACTACATACTGATATACACCTGAACATCAGCAGGAGAGGACTCTTTAAAGTAGAGACTCCACATACTGATATACACCTGAACATCAGCAGGAGAGGACTCTTTAAAGTAGAGACACTACATACTGATATACACCTGAACATCAGCAGGAGAGGACTCTTTAAAGTAGAGACACTACATACTGATATACACCTGAACATCAGCAGGAGAGGACTCTTTAAAGTAGAGACACTACATACTGATATACACCTGAACATCAGCAGGAGAGGACTCTTTAAAGTAGAGACACTACATACTGATATACACCTGAACATCAGCATTATAGGGCCCCTTTAATCATGAAAACCCTCCGACTGACCAGAAAGCCCCTGGGGAAATGATAAATGAGGACGGAAAGCCATTTATTAACAATATATTCACATTGCCAATTGCTGACTTTATTGATTTTTGTGAAAAAACATCTCATTAATGATTTACCAACCGTTGTATCTGCACATGCGATGGTTTATTAGACGGAAACCCATGAGGATTTATTTATTTAACTGCAAATACTGCCAAATAGAAAATATGAAACGAGCCCAAAGTGTCTTTTGATGCATGAAAACCTAACATGTTCTTGCTTCTAACAGATCTATAAACATTAGAACAACATGTTATCTTGCTTTGTTCTGTCGGAAACTTTAACTAACCACAGTGATTCCCAGTTGACCAATTATAAAGCTGAATAATAAAGTTATTTCCCCTATTTTATTTTATTTTTTTCGTGCAGCCACTAGAGCCACGGTGCAGCTCACAGAGAAGATGGCGGCTGCCGGAGCTGACGTTGTGCTGGTTGTAACGCCGTGTTTCTACAAGGGGAAGATGGACAGCCGCGCTCTGATCCAACACTTCACTAAGGTCAGCTCACATCTCACACATTCTCACACACACATGCTTTTACGGAAGGTAGCATCACAAGGGCCACCTCCACAAAAAGCCAATGGGATTTTTCCATAGGATCTTGGAATATTGAAGCACTAAGGTTGAAACACACGTTTATGATACTTAAATGTAGTGACCACAATCATTATTCAAACACACACACACGTTCATAATTATTATTTTTTGTTTTTACCAGAGGCTTATATGATCGTACGGATATGTCGTACGTGACTCCTAATGAGAACAAACACTGATAAAGGTGTCATTTTAGGAAACATGCCTTCAAATCTACCTACAAGTTGATTTAGAGGTCCACTATCATACTGTTTTTCATCAATATATCACAGGTCTCAGATATATACAGAGCCTGTCTCTGATTGGCTGAAACACCAAACAGATCATTGCAGCATTACCAATAATCCCCTCTGTTTCAGCCCTGTTTCCAAAGTGCTGATTCTCTGTCTGTTACTTTAGATGAAAATAACAAGCCCCTGCCCACGCCCCTCTGAGAGAGATTTGGTTACAAAGAACTCAATAATGCTCTAGGAGGAGATTCAGGTGATAAGGTGGGGGGGGGGTTACCTTGGTTGCTGATTGGCTAATGGTTACACAAGACAACACATCGTTATGACATCATCAAGTGGCCAAAATCAGATCAGCTCATTTTCAGACAGGTTTTTATAGAAATGGATCAAAAAGAGGGAGAATCTTTGTTCCTGAAACTTTCAGAGTCTCTTTC